AAAAAAAAAAAAAAGATTGCTCAAGCAATCTACCTGCTTCTGCCTCCCAGAGTGCTAGGATTATAGGCATAAGCCCAAACACAAGTGAACATTTAAACATCTTTAGATGTTTCTAAAAGAACATCTTTCTTTTTTTTTTTTTTGAGACAGAGTCTCACTTTGTCACCCTTGGTAGAGTGTCCTGGCATCATAGCTCACAGCAACCTCAACCTCTTGGGCTCAAGTGATTCTTCTCCATCAGCCTCCTTAGTAGCTGGGACTGACTACAGGTGCCCGCCACAACACCTGGCTATTTTTAGAGACAGTATCTCGCTCTTGCTCAGGCTGGCCTCAAACCTGTGAGCTCAGGCAATCCACCCACCTTGGCCTCCCAGAGTGCTATGATTACAGGTGTAAGCCACCGTGCCCAGCCTTTCACTAAGTGCTTTTAATAGCTAAGAATGCTACAGATGTAAATGCATAAAAATATATTCATAATGTACATTAATGATATAGATATGTTTATACACATGCAGCCTACCACAAAATTTGGCTTCTAAGTGTTCTAATTGTAAAGGATAAGAATATCAGCTTTGATTTCAGGCAGCTTAAGTTGCTTAGCTAAAAGTCTCATGATCTCAAAACAGCTCTCCATAAACTTATTCTAGGCCAACAAATAATAACTCTCTGGAATTCCAACTTTTGACATGCTATCTTCCACAGTTAGTAATTCATTACTAAGTATAAATATCAGACAAAACAAAAGGGACAGATTAAAACCCAAAAGTAGCATGGATTTCAGATGTTTACAGATAATTCAGGTTGGTTATATTTTAAACATCTTACATTTTAGATACATCTTCTAAGCAAATGGAATAAACTCTCTAAAAGGGCACAATATAGGTTAGAGACACAGACTAGGAGAAAAAAGTGACTCAAATTTATTTAGAAGTGACTATCTCCCCAGAACAGTATTTCAGAGACTCTTTTGGCATTAATTTGCCTTTAATAGTAGATGTTCTCAGATTAGTAAACAGAGAGGATTCAAATGGACATTTGAAAATCCCAATCCATTCATTCACTGAAGAAGTCAAAATGCAATTTCTGAAGAGTAAGGTCATGCATGACTAAACATTAAACATTTTTCAGGATATTAGAATCCTAAGCGAAAATGAAAATACAATATATTCTCAGAAGACTTATACAGACTGCATTTTCAAAGCAGAATTAACTATGAAAATTATTAAAATTAAGGTAAAATGCATTTAATCAGTAGAATGGTATTTAAAAAAAACTACTGATAAACAGGTTTACTCTCAGCTGGAAAAACAGAGAGACAGTGAGATCACAGGAGACTATCTCTGCAAAGAAACCAGTGAAAAGCAAGTGACTCAAAGCAATACAGGTAGGTAAGCTAAAAGAAAGTGGCTAAAAAGAAAATTTCAAATATCTTGGCCAGGCTTGATAGGTCACTTGGTGGTTCATGCTTACAATCCTAGCACTCTGAGAGGCCATGGGAGGAGGACTGCTCAAAGTCAAGAGTTCAAGACCAGCCTGACTTAAGAGCAAGACCCCGTCTCTATCAAAAACAGAAAAAATTAGCCCCCTGTGGCAGATGCCTGTAGTTCCAAATATTTAGGAGGCTGAGAGGAGGATTGCTTGAATCCAGAGTCTGAGGTTGCTGTGAGCTAGGCTGACACAATAGCACTCTAGACTGGACAACAGAGTGAAACTCTGTCAAGGAAAAAAAAAAAAGAAAATTCCAAATATTTTGAAAGCTTTCATTGGTTAGTTATCCAAGGCGTGGTAAGGATCATTACTATACCCACAAGAGGGAAATAACAGAGATGGCAACCACAGGTATAGGCGGAAGGCCTATCAGTAAACCTTTAAACAGTTCCATTTTGTGAGAGCAAGTTTGAAGTCTTTTGTGAGTCAGAATTTAGAGAGACTTGGCTAGAACTCCTTATGTGGCTCAGGACCTAATCATTTAGAGCCAAGCCTCAAGGGGGCAGGCCTGCAGGCAGATACCAGTACAACTCGGGAATTTCCAGACTACTCCCTAAGATGGATGACTGCCTCCATATGGTCTGTTAAAGGTCAAGCATTCAATCAGCTTATTCCCCCAGAACTCTGTTTTGTGGTCTTGTTTTTATTGTACAGTTTAGAATGGTTATTGGTTGATCAATGAACTCCTTGGCGCCGGGCAGTGCTGGGCCTGGGTCAGGTTTGAGTCACTAGTTTACTGATTAATTGTGTGTACATGCAGTGTTGCCTATATAAGCTTTGCTAAAATAAAGAACTTTGCTGGATGCCAGAGAGAGCTTCCAGTCTCCTTATTCGCAATACAATTTCACTGTAGGTCTTATCTCTGCTACACCGCATCATGCACCCCTAAACACAAAACAGGTATTTTACATTTCTCCCAATACCCAGAATCTCTTTTCCATGCCCTGCCTTCAGAAGAAACAAATCACTGAGCTGAGAAGCCACTGTAACAGCCAGTGGGCCTGAAGAATACAGTCCATGAAGACCTACTGACAACTGCCATCCTATCCTCATTCCACTGAGATGTCATCAATGTGGCTGGGATCCTTGATCCATATCATATATCAACTGTAACATACTGAGCAAGTCACAACCTCTTCAAGCCTCAGTTTCTTTATTTGTAAAGTAAGGATAACAAAAGCTACTTTTGTCGGGTTCTTGTCTGAACTAAAGATAGTATCTAGAAAGCACCTAATAATCTCTAGGTGCTATAAATGTTAGATCAGCAAGGGCATTCCAAATACCATTAACCTGTTTTATCTACACACTTGAAAAGGTGATTTATGATTTGCTAATTATTTTTTAAATAAGTCTTCTTTTGCTTTAAATAAGGCAATATTAGAAACAGGAGAAGGCTAGTGGCTTACATCTGTAATCCTAGCATTCTCAGAGGCTGAAGCAGGAGGATCCCTTGAGCTCAGGAGTTTGAGACCAGCCTGAGCAAGACTGAGAACCCATCTCAACTAGAAAAATTATCTGGGTGTTGTAGCCGACACCTGTATTCCTAGCTACTCAGGAGGCTGAAGCAGAAGGAATGCTTGAACCTAGGAGTCTGAGGTTGCTGTGAGCTAGGCTGATGCTGCACTCTAGCCTAGGGCAACAGAGTAAGACTCTGTCTCGAGAAAAAAAAAAAAAAAACCCCACACACACACACAAAAACAAACAAATTTAAAAAAAACAAAAAACAGGAGATCATAGGGAATTCTTAGCTTCTCACCAATAAGACTGGATCAGGTTATGAGCTCTAGCAGTTTATCTCCTATAGAGATAACTCCTACCTCCTACTTCGCTAAGATCTTTAGCTTGATTTGAAAATAGTAAGCCATAATATTGTCCTCAGGTGTGGTACTGTCAAACATAAAAAAAAATTTTCTGAACATAAACGCAAGAGTAACAACATAATCTATCAAAATGAAAACAACAATCTCAAAAATAAATTCTACAAAGTATAAATTTAACCAAAAGAGACACCCTTATTTAACAGGATTTATTTGATCTGTCATCGGTTTAAGGATAAAAAAAAGAAAACAAAAAACAAGATATAAATCTCTTGCAGACCTAAATTTTTAAAGCAACAACTGCTGGAGTACTAAGGACAAAGTCACCCAGTATCTTTTATTTTCTACACTTACATTTTTAAACAAAAAGAGTCAACATCACAAAGACAGCCCCAAGTCACTTTAAGAATCAGTAAAATTTTAATTATGTGTCCAGAGAAAAACTGAGATATAAACAATGTATATTTTAGAAGTATATTATATTTTAGAAGTAATTTCTATACCTCAAATTACTATCCGTCTATACCTCAAATTATTGTCTATCTAATACTCAGTTAATGAGAATATGAAATTAACTAGAACTCATGACTGTAAAAATATTCTGTTAATGTATTCTTAAAAGCTCTGAAATTACACACGTCCACTCCAAATCATTTCCATCCCTTAAAGTACTGTACAAACGCAACTTACTCAGATTTGCTGTCATGGATTCCAAATCTGCTATCAAAGCTGGGAGCTGCTGGAGCTGCTCCTGTAACTCTAAGAGGCTCGTCCTCTTCTTCTCCCAGTATGCTGAGAGCATGACCACCTCGCTATCCACCAGCTGCAACACACAAGAGGAGGGGTCACGGGGAGCCAGATTTTAGGCACAAAGAAAGTACAGTTAGCATAATAAGATTTAATGTTATCCTTAACAATCTCTCCACTGAGTATAGATGACAGCACATTCTAAAAGAGACTAAAGTTGTTTTCTTTTTTAGAACAGAATCAACTTAATATTCAGTGCAAGAAACCTCAAATTACTGTTTGTATCAGTGCTTCTTAACCCACAGAAAAGTTCAAAAATGATCTTAGAAATCACTAAGTATACCCTGTTTTTAAGCAAACTATATATTTAAAAATACAAATCTAGAAAAAACAAAAACAAAAAACTACCACTAACGACCAAAAAGAAAACAAAAACAGAGTCAAAACATAATTAGCCAGTAACTACTGCTTTACAAAAGAAGTTCTTTAAACAGCTAATGCATTTAGAATATACCATGATTCATTCTATTTACATTTAAACAGGAACATTTATTGCATTGAGTAAGGTAAATCATAATTATACATGTATAAAGGAATTATTAGGCAACTGAAGAAGAAAAGAGTTAAGGAAACAAAGAAGGAATTTGCAGATGTAAAGTGTTCCTAATAGCAAGGTTGTGAGATTCTAGACTAGTGTAAGATAATTCTAACTTCATTTCCTGAAGACTTTAAGAAAATGACAGACATCAGTCTCTCCCAGACTATTTTATTTTGGTCTTAACATGATGAGAGAGGAAAAGGTCTAGAATAAGATTTAGAAGGAGCAAAGAGAGATCACCTTTCGAAAATACCTCTGATAAACAAGAATTGTGAAAAATACCCACATTCTATACGATAAAAATAAAAGTAGAAAAAGCCATTTGTTACAAAAAAATATGCATTTAAATTTTACATGTAAGATCACAGAGTTCACAGTTAAATTATTGAAAGAAGACAATTTACATATCCCAAGATTAAGGTTTTTCTGAAGTTAGAATCTGAATACAACTAATTCTTACTAAATCTCACTAAAACAAGTAATAACTTTAGAGTAATCGATAAATCAAAGATAAATTATTTGTATGTGGTACTGGACTGCTTTTGTTTCTACATTTTAACATAGTAGGAATTCACATGTGAAATAAAGGAACTAAGCTATAAAACATCTCCCTATGGTTTTTCAGCCCACACTTAAGGAATAACCACGCCCTCTCCCATATTCGAGCCACAAGAGTGGTGAAGGTCATACTAAGCATTATGCAAACTGCATTTCTCATTAACTGTGTGTACTTAAAAAATGCATATTACCAACTGGTCTTTACAAAGATCTCTTAAAAAATAGCTGGACCCGGTGGCTCATGCACATAATCACAACACTTTGGGGGCTGAGGCTAGAGGATGACTCATTGAGGCCAGGAGTTCAAAACCAACCAAGGCAACACAGCGAGATCCCATCTTTAAAAAAAATTTACAAAATTAGCCACTTGGGGTGGTACATGCCTTTAGTCCTAGCTACTTGGGAGGCTAAACCAGGCAGATCGCCTGAGCCTAGGATTTGGAGGCTGCAGTGAGCTATAATCGCACCACTGCCTAGGTGACAGAGCAAAAGCCCCATCTCAAAAAACAAAACAAAACAAACAAAAAAAAACTCCTCTAAAAATAGCTTTAAAAATACTGAACAGGGCTAATAGATAATAGCTATTAACTTTTTAAACAAAAGTTTAAAAAAAGAATTTGTGTTTATAAAATTCATTTATAATATTCAATAAATTTATACTGACCACTCATTATTTGTTATAAACTGTTTTGGGCTCGGTGCCTGTGGCTCAAGAGGCTAGGGTGCCAGCCACATATACCTGAGCTGGCAGGTTCAAATCTAGCCCGGGCCCACCAAACAACAATGATGGTTGCAACCAAAAAATAGCCGTGCGTTGTGGCAGGCGCCTATAGTCCCAGCTACTTGGGAGGCAGAAGCAGAAGAATCACTTGAGACCAAGAGTTGGAGGTTGCTGTGAACTGTGATGCCACAGCATTCTACCCAGGGCAACAGCCTGAGGCTCTGTCTCAAAATACAAACAAACAAACAAACAAACAAAAAAAACTGTTTTGGGCACTGGAGGTGCACTGCTGAACAAAGCACAACAATGCCCTGTTGGTGTTTGTATTTATATTTTAGTGACATGTCTCGTAAATTCTCTTAGCTTCAGATTTTAAACTCTGAGAAAAAAAAGTAATTTCTTTATTATTGGGCTCTCTTAATTAATAATGTGAAAAAGGCTGGGCGCCCATAGCACAGAAGTTATGGCACCAGCCACACACACTGAGGCTGGCAGGTTCGAACCTGGGCATGGGGCCAGCTAAACAACAATGACAACAACCTCAACAAAAAATAGCCAGGGGTTGTGGCAGGGCTTGTAGTCCCAGCTACTCAGGAGACTGAGGCAAGAAAATTGCTTAAACTCAAGAGTTTGAGGTTGCTGTGAGCTATTAAAAAAAAAAGAAAGAAAGAAAGAAAAAGTCTTAAAATTCTTGATAATCTGCCTTCCAGCTTACATTTACATGTTTTGTTCTCTGGCATGACTGTTTTATCTTGTTCTACCATTTTTTTTTTTTTGTAGAGACAGAGTCTCACTCTATCAACCTCGGTAGAGTGCTGTGGCATCACATAGTTCACAGCAACCTCCAACTCCTGGGCTTAGGCGATTCTCTTGCCTCCCGAGTAACTGGGACCACAGGTGCCCACCACAACGCCCAGATATTTTTTGTTGCAGTTTGGCCGGGGCCAGGCTGAACCCGCCACCCTCAATATATTGGGTTGGCACCCTACCCACTGAGCCACAGGCACGGCCCTTGTTCTATCATTTTTAATCACACAATCAGGGGTCCTCAAACTACGGCCCACCTAGGACATTTATCTGGCCTGCCAGGTGTTTTTGCTACCATTGCCTGTCCTGTCTAGCAGCCAACTCGTCCTGGGGCCCACAGTCCGGCCCTCCAACGGTCTAAGGGGCAGTGAACTGGCCCTCTGTTTAAAAAGTCTGAGGACCCCTGATACATATGGCCACTGTTTATTTAGACTTACCTATGTTTATCATCTTTTCTGTTATCATTCCTTCCTACATCTCAGACCTATCTTCCAAAATCACTTTCCTTTTTTCTTAAATATTCTTTAGAAGTTCCTTTCTTGGGGGACAATTGATAGATAACTGTTTTGTTTTGTTTTGAGACAGAGTCTATGTCGCCCTTGGTAGAGTACCATGGCGTCACAGCTCACAGCAACCTCAAACTCCTGGGCTTAAGTGAGTCTCTTGCCTCAGCCTCCCAAGTAGCTGGGACTACAGGCACCCGTCACAACGTCTGGCTATTTTTTTTGTTGCAGTTGTCCTTGTTGTTTAGCAGGCCCAGGCTGGGGTCAAATATGCCAACCTTGGTGTATGTGGCTGGTGCCCTAATCATTGTACTATAGGCGCTGAACCTCGAAAATGGTTTTTATCCAAAAAAGTCTTACTTTTATCCTAATTCTTATAACACTTTGAGGAATCTGCTGTGGAATTCATTCATTTATAAGTGACCTATCTTTTCTTCCTGGTTGTTTTGAGATCTTCTCCTTTCCTTTAATGTTCTATAGTTTCAAATTGAGGTGTCTAGGTGTGGATAATTATCTTAACTGTTTGTTGTACTTCCTGCATAGATCTACGGATTTACGTATCTCATTTGTGGAAAATTCTTATCCATTTATCTTTTTCTACATTGTCTCATCCCTCATTCTTTCTGGGATGTTTCATATGACCCATATGAAACTGCAGTTTTATAGATCAAAATTGGTTGAAGTCTGGCAATCTCATTTAGTTCAACCTAAAAATCTTCTATAACTATTCTCTAATTTGTCTTTCAGACTTTCCACTTTCTCTCAGAAATCATTTATTTTTAGAGAGTCTCTTTGACCCTTCTACTTCACTAATTATTTCTTCAGCTGCATCTAACTGCTACTAAGCACATCTTTTGGGGGGGGTTTGTTTGTTTTTTGGGGTTTTTTTTTTTTTTTTTTTTTGCAGTTTTTGGCCAGGGCTGGGTTTGAACCCACCACCTCCGGCATATGGGGCCAGCGCCCTACTCCTTTGAGCCACAGGCGCTGCCCATCTTTTGGGTTTTTGATTTCTATGACCTTAAAATCATATTTGATAATACCTTATTCCTTATTCTTTATTCATTTTTAAATCCATCTTTTATCTCTTGAAAGATGCACAAATATCTACTTGATACTTCATATTCAATAGCTCAATATCTAAAGTCTTTTGCAGATCTAAATCTCACTCTTTAGCTCAGGTGATTCAAACCTTTGGCAATTTATTTGCTAATGACTTGGTCCATAAAAATCTGAGGATGCAACCTTTAAACAGTTTTATCCATGAAGAATTTTTGCTTATATTGAGTGTCAAAGAACACAGTCATATGCAACTGTCTCATTTCTTAATGCAGAAGTTCATTGATTATACAGAAAATATAACTCAGAACCCCATACTTAAGTGAGGCCAAGACCATGGAAGCAAATCCAGAAAGGAAACTACATATATCCCCACATGATTTTCTTTTTTTTGGTCTTTTTTTTTTTTTGAGACAGAGTCTCACTTTGTTGCCCTCTGTAGAGTGCCATGGCATCGAATCTCACAGCAACCTCAAATTCTTGGGCTCAAGTGATTCTCTTGCCTCAGCCTCCCAAGTAGCTGGGACTATAGGTGCCCACCACAACACCCAGATATTTTTAGAAATGGGGTCTTGCTCTTGCTCAGGCTCGTCTTGAACTGGTGAGCTCAGGCAATACACCCGCCTCGTCCTCCCTGAGTGCTAGGATTATAGGTGTGAGCCACCGCACCTGGCCTGTATGCTTACTTTTTATGAGGAATGAGGACAGACAGGTTTTCTCATTGACTCCCTTGGCCAACAGGTACTTTTTTTTTTTTTTTTTACTAGCTTAACCTTTCATTAGGTGATATAGCCACTTCAAAGGTTAAAGAGCTTTATCTGGTGTCTCAGATTCAGTTCTCCATAGAAAAAGTCTCCCATCCTCATGACTCTCTATGCTTTTGCTCTAGTATTTGATGCCAGCTTCCATATTTTGTTTTGTTTTTTAACCACTCTAATATCAGTTCCCAGTTCAGTTTTTTTTGTTGCCTATTTAGGTTTCTTTTACTTTTTGTGAGCTAAAGATATCTTAAAAGATTTATATAGAGCATTTAAATGTTTTAGACGGCGGCGCCTGTGGCTCAGTGAGTAGGCTGCCAGCCCCATATACTGAGGGTGGTGGGTTCAAACCCAGCTCTGGCCAAACTGCAACAAAAAAATAGCCAGGCCTTATGGTGGGCGCCTGTAGTCCTAGCTACTCGGGGAGGCTGAGGCAAGGGAATCACCTAAGCCCAAGAGCTGGAGGTTGCTGTGAGCTGTGACACTAGAGCACTCTACTGAGGGTGACAAAGTGAGACTCTGTCTCTAAAAATAATAATAATAATAAAAGTAGGCTCGGCGCCTGTGGCTCAAGCGGCTAAGGCGCCAGCCACATACACCTAAGGTGGCGGGTTCAAATCCCCAGCCCGGGCCTGCCAAACAACAATGATGGCTGTAACCAAAAAATGGCCGGCCGTCGTGGCGGGCACCTGTGGTCCCAGCTACTTGGGAGGCTGAGGCAGGAGACTCGCTTGAGCCCAGGAGTTGGAGGTTGCTGTGAGCGTGATGCCATGGCACTCTACCCAGGGGGATAGCTTGAGGCTCTGTCTCAAAAAATAATAATAATAATAATAAAAGTAAATGTTTTATAGCTATTGGGCTTGTGGTCTGCCTTAGTGCCAGAAATCTACATTCCTCTCTTTTCAGTAATTTCTAAGAGACATGCTAATGTCTAAATTTCATCATATATATGCCTATGTTTTATATAACTAATATGGCTTCACTAATTTATGTAAATGGTAAAGAAAGTCAATGCAAATTAACTGAAAGTCAGAATTACAGAAATCTTTATAGAAAGAAAGTTTGATTCACATCAATAGCACAGAGTATCTGATATTAGCTAAGCAGATAATGCTTTAAGTATATTCACTAAATAATTTTAATTTTATTCAAAACACAGTGTTTAAAAATAGTTTGCTCTCTTAAGTGTTGAGGATGACCCATGCAATTTTTCTGATAGGCTCGGTACCTGTAGCTCAGCATCTAGGGTACCAGCCACATATTCTGGAGCTGGCGGGTTCGAATCCTGCTCAGCCTGCCAAACAACAATGACAACTACAACCAAAAATAGCCGAGCTTTGTGGTGGGCCCCTGTAGTCCCAGCTACTTGGGAGGCTGAGGCAAGAGCATCAATTAAGCCCAGGAGTTGGAGGTTGCTGTGAGCTGTGACATCACAGCACTCTACCCAGGGAGCCAAAGTAAGAGTCTTTTTTTCTCAAAAAAAAAAAAAAAGAAAAGAAAAGAAATTATTGTAATAATCTGCTAAGCAAATTAATGATTTTAGGGAGATTGAGCAAAGTTGAGCTTTTGCCTAAATATTAAAGAATTTTTAAATAGAGGATAGAGATTACATCTTATAAATTTACATATATTGCAAAATCATCAGATTCAAATTTAAAACATAATGCCTAGATGAATTAAATATTTACCTGTCCTTAGAGTCAAAGTTATAAACTCTCTAGCCCAACTAAATTATTTGACTTAGAAATTATAAAAATGTGTTTTATTTAGGTAGTTTCTTTTTTTTCTGGGTTTGAACCTGCCACCTCTGGCATATGGGGCCAGGGGCCCTACTCCTTTGAGCCACAGGCACCACCCTTTATTCAGGTAGTCTCATAATAAGAAACTACTAGATCCAATTTCAGATATCCTGAAAAATTAATACAATTTAGTTTTTTTTTAAACTAGCATTTAACATTGAAAAAGGAAATTTTACTATAAGTATAACAGTAGCCAATTCTTTACCTCTCCAGCACTTGCACATTCCTTGGCTCTTCTGTGAAGTGCAGCCCACGTATCCTCATACCTGAAAAAAGCAAAAAATAATTTAAAATGCAGGCTCGGCGTCTATGGCTCAAGCAGCTATACACCTGAGCTGATGGGTTCGAATCCAGCCTGGCCCACCAAACAACGATGATGGCTGCAACCAAAAAACAGTCAGGCATTGTGGCGAGTGCCTGTGGTCCCAACTACTTGGGAGGCAGAGGCAGAAGAATCCCTTGAGCCCAGGAGCTGGAGGTTGCTGTGAGCTGTGATGCCACAACACTCTACCTAGGGCAGTAGCTTGAGGCTCGGTCTCAAAAAAAAAAAAAAAAAAAATTTAAAATGCAAACCACATATAAAAAGAAATACTATCTAATGATGAACATGGACTAGCCTGTTCTACCAGAAAGGAAAAGCTAAAATAATGAGGACATGTTCAAGAACACAGAAGTCAACTTGAAGGAGTTACCAAGTGGCCAAATCTGTGACAACCTGATCAATAAAACACATAATGATAGTAATGGATTATAACTCAAGTAATAAAAGAAAATATTGCCATAGTCCACAGGGATTTAAATAAATAAGTGAATAAATGGTGGAGAAGAGAAAAACTCACAGTAGAATTCTAATTGTTAATTATATAAGAGATGATGAAAACAGAAAATTGCCTCTTGGTAAACTACCAGTAACTGTTTCAGAAGGGACTCTAATAGATGCTAAAGTTAGTTGGTGAAAGCATGAAATGAAATAGAATATTTACAAAATCTCAAAGTATCTCCCCAAGGGATGCTCACTAACTAAAAAGGGGGAAACAGTGTTAACAGAAGAGAAAGAAACCTGCAGGTCCTTCCTTAATAAAAAGATCAAAATTAATGTCAACAGTAATGAGACACATCATGTGCCTCCTGATATGATACATTGCAAGGACACATTAACCTTCTGATGCACTTGCCAAAAAAGCACTAACTTGAATTTAATCATGAGGAAAGAGCAAAAAAGTCCAAGCTGACAGACATTTAGAAAAACAATTACTCAGGGATGGCACCTGTGGCTCAGTGAGTAGGGCACCAGCCCTACACACCAAGGGTGGCAGGTTCAAACCCGGCCCCAGCCAAACTGCAGCAAAAAAATAGCCGGGCGTTGTGGCAGGTGCCTGTAGTCCCAGCTACTCGGGAGGCTGAGGGATGAGAATCGCCTGAGCCCAGGAGTTGGGAGGTTGCTGTGAGCTGTGTGACACCATGGCAGGGCGATAAAGGAAAACTCTGTCTCTACAAAAAAAATAATAATAATAATAATTGCTGAGTACTGGCTCATCCGCTCATAGTACAGTGTTTATGGAGCCATCTGCATACACTGAGGCTGGCAGGTTCAAACCAGCCTGGGCCAGCCAAAACAACAATGACAACTGCAACAAAAGTATAGCCGGGCGTTGTGTCAGGTGGCTGTAGTCCCAGCTACTTGGGAGGCTGAGGCAAGAAAATCACTTAAGCCCAAGAGTTTGAGGTTGCCGTGAGCTGTGAGCTGTGACGCCATAGCACCTACCAAGGGCAACATAGTGAGACTCCGTCTCAAAAAAAAAAAAAAAACTTGCTCAGAACTCTTCAAATATGTCAAAGTCATAAAAGACAAAGACTCAGGAACTGTTCCAGATTAAAGGAGATCAGAAAGTCATGGAAACTAAATATAATGAAGAGTAAATAATGTGAGAACTACATTGACTCAGAGTCCAGGAAAAAAGGACACTGGTGGGACAGTTGATGAAATTTGAATAAGATCTGTAGATTGGCTCGGTGCCTGTGGCTCAAGTGGCTAAGGCGCCAGCCACATACACCTAAGGTGGTGGGTTCGAATCCAGCCTGGACCCTCCAAGCAACAATGACAGCTGCAACCAAAAAATAGCCGGGCATTGTGGCGGGCGCCTGTGGTCCCAGCTACTTGGGAGGCAGAGGCAGGAGATTTGCTTGAGCCCAGGAGTTGGAGGTTGCTGTGAGCTGTGAAGCCACGGCACTCTACCCAGGGGGATAGCTTGAGGCTCTGTCTCAAAAAAAAAAAAAAGATCTGTAGATTAAAATTATTTACCAATGTTAATTTCCTGGTTTTGATCATTGTACCGTACATAAAATGCTAACTAGGAAAGCTAAAATTCCTTGTTCTATTTTTGCAACATCTTTCGTAAATGTGAAATTGTTTCCAAATGAAAAGTTAGAAAATACAACTTCTGAACTATTATTCATATGGTTGCTGACCTTAAACTTGATTTCTCATCTTATCTAAGATTCTTGCTATCCAACTGATAATTCTCCATACAAGAATACGTATTTTATGAGTTTATGTTGCCTCCCCACAGTCATAGAGAGACTCACAATTTTTCTATTGACTTTAAATAAGAAAATCAATCCAAATAATCCAAACAGATATACTAGAGTCTACATGTAATAAAAAGGTGAAAGGCCACACAATTAATATAGCCCTATTGCCACTGTTGACTAACAGAAAGTTAAAAATTTTCTCTGATGTATCAGATGGTGTAAGTGTCCATTAACATCAACAGGTATTTACTAAATGTCAAGCACTGTTAGGCACCAGAATTGCTGAGATAAATTTTACTTTTGCATGTGTGTTGTCCCAGTACTTAGCACAGAGCCTGACATACAAAAAATAAATATTAAATGACTGTTGAGTGGAAGAATAAATATGCTAATTGCAAATTTAAAATTCAGGGCTTCATGGTAAAATTTTCTATCATTGTCTCCAATCAGCAGAAAAGAGCAAATTAAGCCTCACTTGCCATTTAGACTCCCGATCATATTTTTCTGAATCTCTCATCATTTTCATTTTCCCCTCCTTTTAGGTATACTCTCCACACCTTCCTTGCCATTACAAACCACCCTTCCTCACATTTACCTCCTTAGTCCATGCTTTTCCTAGTGTCTTTAAACCCAGATTAAAGGTTTCTCTAAACCTAGATTATCCCAGCCATTCATTTTCTCTCCTCCACTTTTATGCTCTGGAGCACTGTTGGAGAACAGCATTAAATCCATTATAAATGCATGCTATCCAACCTTGCATGGGGCTTAGCTGCCAATCAGCACTTAAAAAAAAAATTTCATTACTACCAGATTGCTCCCTGAAGTCTACACAATAGTTGTTATACATGTCACGCAGCCTTGAAACTCATCCCCATCCAACTGCTGTCAACAGATGGATGACCTTATTGCACCATTCTACTAAAATAAAATCCCTAGATATAAACTCCTTCAATTTTCCTGTGTTAAAACTTTAATATTTGTAAAGTTACAAGTCAATGCTAAGGAAAGAGACCATATTCATAACTTAGATAGTCACAATACATGTTAAAGACCTAAGCAGACCTTAAATTTACATGTCTGATCACTGGCTAATCACTGGTACAGAGTTAATCAGATCTCCAGTGTTACCACAGTAAGACACATAGAATGCAAATGTCCAGTTTTCAACTAAAAAAATCACATAGAAACAGGAAAGTATGGTCCTTTTTTTTTTTTTTTTTGCAGTTTTTGGCTGGGGCTGGGTTCGAACCCACCACCTCTACCATATGGGGCTAGCACCCCACTCCTTTGAGCCACAGGCGCCGCCCGAAAGTATGGTCCTTTCAAAGGGAAAACATGAATTGACAACATCTCTGGAAAGATCAGATGGTGAACTTACCAGACAGACTTTAGAACAATTATCTCAAGATATTTAAAGAGCTAAAAGAAGACATGAACAAAGTAAATAACACGTGAATAAAATAGAGTGGACTCTCTCTAAGTTGACCACTCAAGGGACTGTAACAAACAGGTCAACATACAGAAGTGGTCAACATAAGGAACTAGGCCTACTGTACTGACACCTACATGTGGTGCATGTCTGGTCTATGTGAAGTCAACTTAAGGAGGTGGTCAATGTAGGGAGGTGGTCAGCTATGGAGGCTCTACTATAGTATTATCAATAAAGAAATAAAACATAGACAGGAACCAATAAGAAATTCTGAATATGAGGCTCAGCGCCTGTGGCTCAAGCGGCTAAGGCACCAGCCACATACACCGGGTTCAAATCCAGCCCTGCCCGCCAAAACAACAATGACGGCTGAAACCAAAAATAGCCAGGCATTGTGGCGGGTGCCTGTAGTCCCAGCTACTTGGGAGGCAGAGGCAGGAGACTCATGTGAGCCCAGGAGTTGGAGATTGCTGTGAGCTGTGATGCTACAGCACTCTACCCAAGGGGATAGCTTGAGGCTCTGTCTCAAAAAAAAAAAAAATTCTGAATATGAAAAGTACATTAATTAAGATGAATAATTCACTGCAGGAATTCAAAGGCAGATTTGAGCCAGCAGAAGAAAGAATCAGCATGTTTGAGGATAAGCCAATTGAAATTAGGAAGATTAGGAGTACTAGAAATAGGAGAAAGAAAAAAAAGATTGAGCCTAAGCGACACCATCAAGAGGACCAACATACGAATTGCTGAAGTCCTTGAAGGAGAGAGAGACAGAATGGGAGAAGAGATTATTTCAGGAAACAACAGCCAAAATCTTCCCAAATTTGATGAAAGACGTAATGAACGTTTGAGAAACTCAACCAACTCCAAGCAGGATGACTTCAAAGGGACACAGACTGAGGCACAATATAATCAAACTGCTGGAAACCAACAATAGACAATCTTAAAAACAACAAGAAATATATATAACTGTAAATATTTATAAATTATATACATGTTTAAATATACATACCCTTATTGAAGACACTTTATACATAAAGACATACAAGGATCCCTTGTACATAAAAAAATATCAGCAGATTTCTCTCAACAGAAACATTAGAGACAAGAAGTGAGTTATAAATAATATTCTGAAAGTTCTGGTAGAAAATAAAAAACTAAACCAAGAATTCCATATCTGGCACAACTGTCCTTCAAAAATGAAGAAGAAATTAAGGTATTCCCAGATAAACAAAAGCTGAAAGGGATCATTACTAATAGACCTGTATAGCAAGAAATGATACAGGGAGTCTTTTATGTTAGACAGTA